CATCGTTGTGCATCCGTCGTCTGTTGTCTGCGCCTGACGAGCCACATCGACTTTGGGATACCAGCCCGAAGTCGCCTGCGTCACCGCAACCTCGACGACGTTCGCGTGCCTCCGCAGAACTCGCCGAACAGGTTACCTGGTCGACCTGGTCGGCCACCAGATGCTCTGGTCGACCACCAGGTGCCTCTGGTCGACCACCAGGTGCCTCTAGTTGACCACCAGGTGCCTCTGGTCGACCACAGCTCCCGTCGAGCTGCCCCCTGGTCGACGGACCCCTCTGTCGACCAGAACTGTCAGCTGTTGTCACCGAGCTCCCCTCGTCAACCGCTGCTCACTTGTCAGGTCGACGGACTTCTCCGTCGACCTCATGGTCGAACTGCTTCTTCTGGTCGACGGCCCACCCGTCGCCCAGCCCAGTCAGCTGCAGCTGTCGAGCTCCCTGGTCGACACCAACACCACAGCGGTCCCCTGCAGCTCGACAAAGCTCGTCAAGCAGCTCTCCCACTTTGAACGGTCGGCTGCTTCACCCGTACATCAGACCAAGTCGTCGGCGTTGCTAAGCAAGGGCGTAGCCAACACTCCACTCCCGTAAACAGGGGATTCTGCTGGCGGTACTGGAGTTGGAGGTGCCGGAGGCACTGGTTCTGGAGGTACTACTACTAGAGGTACTGGAGTTGGAGGTGTTGGAGGCACGGGTACTCGAGGTACTGACACTGGAGGTGCTACTAGAGGTACTGGAGTTGGAGGTGCTGGAGGTGCTTGTGCTGGAGATACTACTAGAGGTGCTGGAGTTGGTGGTGCTAGTCGGCAGGAGTTGCTCTCGCCGCAGCAGCTTCGCGACTGGGTTGTCCGGAGGGGCAGCCCCAGTGGTAGAGTTGGAGGTGCTGGTACTGGGGGTGATGTTACTACTAGAGCTGGAGGTTCTGGGGGTGCGACTACTCCGCAGCAGCCATCTGCTCTTCATCACCTTCTCAGTCTCCCTCCTGTTGTAACCTGTTGCTGGCACTACTCCACCGCCGGACCAGTCTCAGCCACAGTTACTACCTCACTCCCCACTGCCTGCTCCTGTCCCTTACACTACGGTGACGGAGTCCATTACTGAGAGTAGAGAGCATGCGTCGCGTCCTGTGACGCCTATCCGTATTCGTCGTGCTGCCTGTCCTCGTCCTCCACCTGTCCCAGGCATGCACATCATGGCACTTCATTCTTCCTCTGTTCCACAGCGTGTTGTCCTGCCGTCGCCTCCTGCGTCCTCTCTTCCTCACGTTCCTGGCCCTGAGTCTGACCGTGTTCGTGCTGTCAGTCGGACTATCAATCGTTTTCTTGCTACGGTTGTAATTGACCCTTCCTTTGAGTCTGCTGGTGCGTCTACCTTAGTTGCTGAGCTTGTTGACTTTGCTGCTTTGTGCCGCCTTGACTACGCCTTCCTTTGACTCTGCCTGTCCTCTCTCCATCGGAGGTGAGCTTGCCCTTGGCTGTGATGTCATTGAGGACAGGCAATTTGAGCTGGAGTGCCTAGCGGCCGCTGCACCTCATCTCGCGTCCACGCTACTTTGCCCTGAGGAAGACCCGGATGCACTGGATATCCCGACCCCGCGCTCTTACGCAAACGCGATCACGGGTCCGTACTCCTCTCAGTGGAAGACACCCATGGACGCAGAGATGGCTTCCTGGAAGTCCACAGGCACCTACGTCGACGCAGTTCCCCCACTTGGGGCGAAAATAATCGATGGCATGTGGATTTTCAGGGTGAAGCGGCCATTGGGTTCTCCGCCTGCCTTCAAGGCGCGTCACGTTGCATGAGGCTTTAGTCAGCGAGAGGGGGTCGAATTCTTCCCGACATTCTCACCCACCCCAAAGATGATCACTCTTCGGGTGTTACTGCAAATTGCAGCATAGCGTGACTACGAGCTGCACTCCCTCGACTTCTCGATAGCCTTCCTGCAGAGCAGCCTTCACGAGGCGATCTGGTTGCACCTCCCTCGTGGCTTCACTGGGTCGTTTCCTGAGGGTACCCAGTGGAGCCTCCGGCGGCCAGTGTACGATCTGCGTCAAGCGCCCTGTGTGTGGTACGACACACTGTGGACTATGCTGGCGGCTCTAGATTTCGTTGTGTCGACGGCTGACCCTTTGCTGTTTCTGCGCACAAACACTTGCTGCCGCCGTTCTATGTTCTCGTGTACGTCGACAACTTGGTTTTTGCTACTGCTGACACTGAGGCACTGGCCCTAGTGAAGGCGGAGCTGCAGGAGAGACACACCTGCACTAACCTGGGTGAGCTGCGGAGCTATCTTGGCTTGCAGATCACCCGGGACAGAGCACGCCGCACCATCACCCTCACTTAGTCACACATGGTGCAGCAGGTCCTTCACCGCTTCGGCTTCCAGTTCTCCTTGCCACAGCCCACTCCTCTGCATACTGACCACTCGCTCTCAGCTCCCCCTTCGGACGAGTCCGTAGAGCGGAGTGGTCCGTATCCAGAGCTTGTGGGTTGCCTCATGTACTTGATGACGTGCACACGACCTGACCTCGCGTACCCTCTCAGCCTCCTTGCTCGCTACGTTGCGCCCAGTAGACACCGGAAAGAGCACTGGACAGCTGCACAGAGGGTACTGCGTTACTTGTGCAGTACATCAGGCATGTGGCTTGTGCTTGGGGAACATGGTCCAGTTGTGCTCACTGGTCACTCAGACGCTTCTTGGGCTGATGACCAAACGACTCACCGGTCGACACAGGGTTACAGCTTTAGTCTCGGCACTGGTTCTGTCTCATGCAGGTCCACTCGCTCGTCTTCTGTACTTAGTTCCAGCTGTGAGGCCGAGATCTATGCTGGGGCTATGGCTGTACAGGAGCTCCGCTGGCTGACCTACCTGCTGACTGACTTGGGTGAGCGGCCTCGTTCTCCTCCAGTTCTGTACGTCGACAACAAGACCATGATTGCCTTGTGTCAGGACCAGAGATTGGAGCACAGAACGAAGCACATTGCGCTTCGTTAATTCCTCACACGAGAGTTGCAGCAGCGTGATCAGCTTTGCCTCTCGTACGTGGTCTCACAGGCCAACACTGCTGATGTCTTCACCAAGGCCCTCGGGTCTGGTGATCATCAGCGTTTCTGCACTGCTCTTGGGCTTGTGCTCACTCTGCCTCACCTGCTTGTCTCTTGATCTTGCCTTGCCCTTGTTACACTCTGATATATATGAGTATACCTGCATGCTTCCACTTGCTAGGTTGTGATCAGTGTACTTCTCTTGCTATTATAAACTCTGCATGTGAACTGGCCTTGTGGCCATTTGCTTGTGCTCGGAATGAGTGGTGATCTTGAGATCCACCCCGAGCTTTGCTTTGTTTGCTTCTCTTGACTGGTTTTGTGACCACTTGTTGTCCCCCATTTCGCCTATGGGGGTGCGTCAAAACATGTTTATATGTTGTTATGTTTGTTCTGTTAGGCTGCAGTGTGGTACCTTGTATAGGGTACAACACAACTCTCTTGATACTTGTACCCTAATCTCCTACTAGTCTATCATCCTTAGCTTCTAACAGTGTGCAGTGCAGGGAAATGGCAGTGGGCAAGGGAGTCACCACTACCACCAACCTCACCCTGGGGTATGGGTTTAGGGTTGCTGCTATACTGCTATGTTGCTGTGCTTGCTGGCCCTCATAACACTCCCCGTGGCCCTCATTTCATCCCTCTCACCGTGTCTTTCAGCCCTTGTGTTCACCTCCTGTTCTCCTCTTGTCCCCCTCCCCCCTCTCTTGGACCTTGCACAGGTGCCACTATGGGTTGCAGGTAAGATCAAGTTTTCCCGATGTCCTACATGTTTCTCCAATTGCATTAGAGGTCGATATTGTATACTATTATGCTAGGTTTCTATGGTTGATTAGGTTAGGTATTGTTAGATATTTTGCGTATTTTGGCCCGAGCAAGAGACATGAGGCGCGGACCAAAGACGTGAGGCCCGGATCAAAGACTTGACCCAGCCTTGAACCCCAACCCAACCTAGCCTTCAACCCAACCTGACCTAGCCTTGAACACCAACCTGACCCAGCCCATACCCCAAGCTGACCTAGCCCATAACCCCATCTTGACCCAGCTTTATTCCCCAATCCCTCTCAGCCTTAAACCCCGACATGACCTAGCCTTCAACCCCAACCTGGCACAGCCCATACCCCAACCTCACCCGCCACCTCCTCCCCAGCCCCCTTCTCCCCCTCCCTCGCTTCCCACTCCCCCGCCTCCCCCGCCTCCCCCGCCCCCTCCTCCCACTCCCCCGCCCCCCCCCCTCCCCCGCCCCCCCCCTCTCCTGCCCACGCACCCCCCGCCCCGCCCGCACCACTCCCCGCCTCCCCCGCCTACCCCTCCCCCCCTCCCCCTCCTCCCCCTCCCCTTCCTCCCCCTCCTCCCCCTCCCCCTCCTCCTCCCCCTCCTCCCCCTCCCTCCTCCCCCTCCTCCTCCCCTCCCCCCCACCCCCCCCCCCTCCTCCCTTCTCTCTCCCTTCGCTGCTTGAGATTCTTTCAGGAGCAAGCACCAGGCTCGGCTAATGTTGACATTGAATTGAACCGCTTTCCTTTTTTGTCCATCTCTGGCCTGATTGGGTAAATAGCGGTGAAAGTTACGTTAAAGGTAGAACGTGGGCAATGTTCTTGTAACATGACAAGCTATCATGATTTCTTCATAGCCGCCTTGCCTGCCTGCTTGTGTGCACAGTGAACTGATTTCAGTTTCATGAACACACTTGCCAAGCATGCCAGATTACAAATTACCTAACTGCATCTGCACTGGGACTGAGCCAAAAGTGCTGAATTACCAGTGCTTTTCCAAGCGGTGCCCAAGCGCTGGCTACGGCGACATGCGAGGGAGGTGTGGCAAAGAGTATTTCTAATGCACTGAATCGCATGCAAGTTATACAGTAGTGCCAACAGTGGTTTCCTCTGCTCCACCACCGGTTGCCCTGCCCTGCATAAACGAATCATTCAGTCATTCTAACCGGTCCGCTTGCACCTCATGCTGCCACCTTACCACCCTCAAAACGCTTCAGCTTGAGCAACGAGTGTAAGCAGCAATTGAAGAGAAACAGTAGACAGTTACAGAAGCGCTGCACGTGCGGTGTTGAGCGCGCTTTTAATCCGGGCCAGGGACGCACTGCACGGGGCACATAGCAACGCACGGAGCACACAAGAGGGCTTAGGGTTACGAACATGTGACCGATGACACACAAGGAATCACGGAAAGTCCAACAAGGAGTACAGCGCAGGGAGGGAGAGCAGGGAGGGAGAGCAGGGAGGGAGGGCAGGGAGGGAGAGCAGGGAGGGAGAGCAGGGAGGGAGAGCAGGGAGGGAGAGCAGGGAGGGAGAGCAGGGAGGGAGAGCAGGGAGGGAGAGCAGGGAGGGCGAGCAGGGAGGGAGGGCAGAGAGGGACTGACTCGGCCTCGGGTGAAGTCGCAGACTCGCCCTGCCCGCACCGACTGGGCTGCCTCCCGCAGATAGACGTCTCGTACATAGAACTCCGGCACCTGGTCATGCTCATGCCATGCCATGCCGTGACGTGCCATGCCATGCCGTGCCGTGCCGTGTCGTGCCGTGCCGTGCCCATGCCATGGCGTGCCATGCCATGCCATGTCGTGCCGTGCCGTGCCGTGCCGTGCCGTGCCCATGCCATGGCATGCCATGCCATGCCATGCCATGCCGTGCCGTGCGTGCCATGCCATGCCATAGCACGCCGTGCAGTGCCCCGCCATGCCACACAACAAAAGACCACACCAGGTCAGGCCAAGCCAGAGCATGACAGCAGAGCACCACACAGGCAGGCAAGCAGGGGCGTAAGCAGCGCGATGAAGGAGGGGCGGACTGAGCTGCCTTGCAAATGATCAGGATAGGAACTGCAGGATTGGGTTGAAAGAACCTGGTTACTTGGCAGTGCTGCGGGGCTCGCACCTCGTTCTTGAGCAGCGTGTGCTCGCACCACGCGGTGGGGTCCATGACAGCGTCCTGCAGGTGGTTGAAGTTGGCCTTGGTGCTCCTCACGTGCACCCCCCTCACTCGTGATGCTGACTCCGCCTCGTGCAGTCCCAGCGCTGAAATCTGTGAGTCATTTGGAGAGCGGGAAGTGGTGGGGCAGTGGTGGGAATGGAGGAATAGGGAAGAGAAGGAAGGGGGGAGGTGGTGTGGAGGCGGATGGGAGAGGGAGGTAAAAGAGGTGGTGGGCGTGATGGCGTCACGGCGGTCCATTCACTTCTCATCACGTGCCGTGTGCTGCAGGTCTTTTCGCAACAGTTGGATTAATCCGCAGGAAGAAGCGGAGAGTTGGGGGAAGGGCAAGGACGAGGGGGTTGGGGAAAGGGGGAGAGGGCAATTACAATGTGAGTGCTCTTCTCCCACCCATCTCACCTTTCCACGCACCCTCCCATGCCACGATTGTTAGAATATCGTTCCCCGTGTCCTGCAAGTATCTTTTATAGCTTGGGTGGACATAGACACCTGATATGGTTTGGGTGCACAAACAATTAGGGCTCACCATAGTTGGCTTGGGAACTCAAACCTTGGCCCTAATATTTGGCCCCCAAGGTTGGGTTGGTAGATTATTGGAGGCCCAACACTCTTGGCTCACTTGTGACGAAAATTATTGGACACCACAATAATTTACCGATCCAACTTAGTGGAGGGGGACAATAATGTTGGCCACTGTGGCCACCAAATCCCCTTTTAGGCATGAGCATGGGACCCGGCTTTTTGGCGGGTCGGTCCAGACTATTCGAAACGAAGACCCGGCCGGGTCGGGTCGACCCATGACCCGATTCCTGAAATGTGCTATGGGTCACTGGGGTTGGGCTGAGCTCAATGACAGGTGTGCAGTTGGGGTTGGGTCTTCAAGATTCACTTCCGTGATGAGTGGTGAGATGTGCCAAAGTGGCTGGGAATGACTGCCGTCGATAACTCATTTGTTGCAGACGAGGGAGTGCCTAGGCATCCCTACCTCTGCAGATCGGCCAACGAAATCGCCAATCTGCAAAAATTGGCGGGCAATACTGCCGATTTCCGCTTCTCGGCGGGCGAAAGCGCTAATCCGCGTGGGTCGCTGGGTGAAATCGCCGATCTGCGCAGAGCGCGGACGAAAGCGGTACTTTCGTACCCGACCCGGTCCTTTAAGGCCAGGTCAGGCCAAGGTTTTGAAAACCTCGGGCCATTAAGACCCGACCCACTACCCGCCTGGCCAGCCCAAATCGGGTCGGGACGGGTCGGGTCGGTTGCTCATGCCTGTGCACTCTTACCTATGTATACCCCCACCGTTTTCAATCCAAGTATCACTTCTTCATGCCTCTGCATTTCTCACATGGTATTAAAGCAATTCGGCTCACGCCTCTCCCAATCCACGCGGACACGAAGGTGCCGTCCCCTACCCCGTCCTCCTCCTCCGCCCTCCCCATGGTGGACGATACCTCCTCCGTCGAGCTCACGTTCATCAACAACCTCAACAAACTCCACACAGCGACCCCACCTACGCCATTCTCATGACACTGATCTTTGACAAAGACCTGACGTTCACTAGAAAGTTCTAGCGGAAACTTATGGGATTATTGAGGACTAAGCTTGCAACGTCTTCAGCACACCATCTCTAGACAGATGGCCAGACGGAACCAAGTGGTAGAACAGTTACTGCGCACAGCTTGCAAAGATGACATCAGCCACTAGGATCAACAGTAACCAACACTCGAGTTCGCCTACAACAAACTATAAACGCGACCACAGGAAAAAACCATTTCTTATTGTGGTACCGACGTGACCTCGTTACACCACAACCGCCAACTACACTGGTCCGCGTCCAAGCTGCTCATGACTTCATCACCACCATGCAGCAAATATAGGAGACAACTCACCACGATTCAGAACTCCCATAAACAACATGCTGATGGTTATTGACATGACTAGATGATTGGAATCGGAGACAGTTTGTTTTGGACACTCGTTCTTGGACCTTCTCATCTGCCGTCCAGGCTCCGTCCATGATTCTGTGGTCCTCTCCGCGTTGAGGCGATGGTGACACCAGTTACTTTCCGCTTGCACTTGTTATGTCACGAAGGATAGAGAGTGCACAGACACATTTCTGCTGAGCGGCGTCAAACGTTGATAGCGAACTGGTTACTGCATCTAATGATGTGCTATAAATCGAATATGGAGCGCCTTGATGTTGTCTACAATCAACAAGTTGAATCACCTGTTTTGATAAAGAACCGACGACGTGAGAGTAGTTTGAGTGAAGCACGTTCTAGCAGCAACTATGATCTTTGAGCACACCTTGTTCACACCCCTTCTGGTCGCTTACTCTCCTACATCCCCCGATGCCGCTCCACCTACATGCGTACTTTTTGCACCCCCCGCCCTACCATTCACCACTTCAGTACCACCCCCCTCCCCCCCCTTCCCTCACCTCCCCCCCACCCCATCGCACCTTGCGTGGATCCATGATGAGGCGGCGGAAGCCAGCCTCCCCGGGGCAGAGGTGGGGGTCGGGGAAGCGGATGCGGTCGTGGCAGACGGGGTACGGCCAGCGGAACACCATGCGCTCCATCGAGAACGCCTCGCCCTCGGGCACGCGGAACGGCAGCGCGCACAGCCGCGTCGACCACCACTGGCTGCCCACGCTCACCCACGGCACCGCCCGCACGTACGCCGCAGCCTCGGCGGCCGCGGCTGCCGAGCCTCCAGATGCAGTTACCGCAGCGGCGGCCCCGGTAACGGCGGAATCAACGAGGGGGTCTGAGAGGGCGGTTTCGGAGGAGGAGGTGGGGGGGTAGGCGAAGGGGTCGAGGAAGGAGGGGATGGAGGCGGGCGGCAGGCCGACGAAGAGGAACTCGTTGATGGCGGCTGGGATGACCCAGCGGGCTGTGAAGGCATGGCGCTGCACACAGTCGTGCATTGCTAGCACCTGGTGGGAGGTGGGGTTTGAAGAATGGTGGTGTTGGCAGGTAAAAGGGGTGAACGAGGGTGGCACGGGAAAGGGTGGGAAGTGGGTGGCAGGGGGAAGGGCCGTGTGGTGGTGCACAGAGACATGCATGGCCAGCACTTGGTGAAGGTGGGGAGGGTGGAAACGGAGAGGACGGAGAGGGAAGCATGTTGTGTGTGTCCGTATGCATCGAGAACAAGCATGTTGTGTGTGTCCGTATGCATCGAGAACAAGCATGTTGTGTGTGTCCGTATGCATCGAGAACAAGCATGTTGTGTGTGTCCGTATGCATCGAGAACAAGCATGTTGTGTGTGTCCGTATGCATCGAGAACAAGCATGTTGTGTGTGTCCGTATGCATCGAGAACAAGCATGTTGTGTGTGTCCGTATGCATCGAGAACAAGCATGTTGTGTGTGTCCGTATGCATCGAGAACAAGCATGTTGTGTGTGTCCGTATGCATCGAGAACAAGCATGTTGTGTGTGTCCGTATGCATCGAGAACAAGCATGTTGTGTGTGTCCGTATGCATCGAGAACAAGCATGTTGTGTGTGTCCGTATGCATCGAGAACAAGCATGTTGTGTGTGTCCGTATGCATCGAGAACAAGCATGTTGTGTGTGTCCGTATGCATCGAGAACAAGCATGTTGTGTGTGTCCGTATGCATCGAGAACAAGCATGTTGTGTGTGTCCGTATGCATCGAGAACAAGCATGTTGTGTGTGTCCGTATGCATCGAGAACAAGCATGTTGTGTGTGTCCGTATGCATCGAGAACAAGCATGTTGTGTGTGTCCGTATGCATCGAGAACAAGCATGTTGTGTGTGTCCGTATGCATCGAGAACACGCGCAAGCGTTGCTGCGCGCACCTGTCCGTTCCTCTCGAGGTCAAACTGCTTCACGCCTGTGAAGTCCGTGCGGCGCACCACCCTCCTTTCAAAGTCCCCATGGAATCGCTCTGTGAGTTCCACGGCGAGCCACCCGCCGCTGTCGTACAGCGCCACCACGGCGGCGCCCAGCAGGCGGTGGTACTCCACCGCCTCGCGCAGCAGATGCACCGGCACCGATGCGTTACGCGCCGAGGGCAGCAGGCAGAACACCGAGTGGAACGGGAAGGGGAGACCTGGGGTCGTGGTTGGGAAGGTGAGAGGAGCTTCCCTGGTGGGGGGAAGGGGGGAAGGAGAGGGGGAAGAGTGGTTGTGGGGCAGAATGGGGAGGGCGTGCAAGGGAGGTATGGGGGAAGGGGAAGAGGTGCAGGAGAGGTTTGGAGTTGAGGGGTGGTACTCCACTGCCTCGCGCAGCAGATGCACCGGCACCGACGGGTTGCGCGTCAAGGGGAGGATGCAGGGTACCGAGTGGAAGGGGAAGGGGAGACCTGGGGTCGTGAATGTCCGAGGGGCTTCCCTGGTGGGGCGGGGGAAGGGAAGACGTAGGGTGGAGCGTGCAGGGCGAGTGAGGGAGAGGGAGGTATTGGAGAGGGAAGGAAGTGGTGGAAGGAGGAGTGATGTGGGTGAGGTGAGAAGAACAGGGAACTAGAAAACAGGAACTCCAGGGAGGATGAGATGATAGGGGTGAAGGGCACGTATGCAAGGCCTTCCAGTTGCCAGTGAAACTCAAGCACCACCTCTCTTTCTCCACTCATGGTCACCACTATCACACCCACAATGGTCACACCCACCATTGTCACCCACCCACTGTCACACCCACCATTGTCACCCACCCACTGTCACACCCACCACTGTCACACCCACCACTGCCACACCCACCACTGCCCCACCCGCCACTGTCACACCCACCACTCTCACACTCACCTGTAGAGCACAAAGTCAGTCCCTTCAATGCGCACAGCCAGGAAGCCCCCTGTGTTGGGCACGTCCTCGCTAAAGGCGGCCTCGATAACGGCCTCCGTGTGCTGCGAGGCGGACCCCTGCTGCCCCAGCGAATAGGACACGTTTACCGTGCAGTCCAGCGCCAACTGTGCAGGTCCGAACCACCTGCGAGAAGGGAGGAGTGGCCGAGTGGGAGAGGAATGGGCGAATGAGTGAGTAGGATGCGTTCACCTGTGAAGGTGGGGAGGGATAGGTGAATAGGCATCAAAAGAGTAGGGGATTTTGAAGGCAAGGGGCAAACTGTCAAGGGCGTGGAGGGAGAGAAGGGGGTCAAGGCAAATGAGCAGTGAGAAGCAGGTGTTGGGGGTGGCAGCAGTGACAGGGAAGAGCGGAGAGTGAGGGGCAGGGAAAGAGGGCGGTGGTGGGACCAGCGCACCTGTTCCTGTGAGCCCCCTGTGTGCCCTCCACCTGTGTGCCCCCCCCCTGCGCGCCCTCCCCATGTGCGCCCTCCCGCTGTATGTAGCCCTTCCTCTGTGCGCCCTCACCCTGTACGCCCTCCCCTTTTGCGCCCTCCCCCTGTGCTCCCTCCCCCCGTGTGCCACAGCGCTCACCTGCAGTGTGTGGCAGCCAGGCGCTTCCTCGTGGCCAAACACCACCCCCATGCCCACCTTTGAGAATTCCCAGCAAACCTGTCTCTTCCCTAAAGCTCCTACCCCTACCCTGAAGCCCATTACCCAGTGCGCTTTTTCCCCTTATCCCTGTGCTGCGCGTCCTCCCCCCTCTCTGCCCCTCACCTGCAGTGCGTGGCGAAGAGACGGCCTTTCATGGCCCGCGGGACCACCCCCACGCCCACCAGCCTGCGCGGGCCAACGCGGTAACCACTGGAGGTTGGGGGGAAAGGGGGGAACGAGTGCCGGGGGCAGGAGGTGTCGGCATGGAACGGGACATAATGGTATGGGATGTTATCATATGCCTTCAGGTCTGTCTGCCCCTCGTCTTGAATTGCCAATTTGTATGCGTCGAATGCCTTTGTGAAATACGTTCTAATTGGCAGGATTTAGAATTTGTGAGTGTGTTTGAATTTCATATTGTCTGAGCAGATATCTGAAATGACATCTCTGCCGAAAACCCTTCCGGCGAACCAAAGATCGTTTCAACCAGCGAACCAAAGATACGAACGATCAGAGATCGTATGCTTTTAAGTTATCGTTACGTCGACTATGGGGATTTGTGAGGTTACTCTTTGTGGGATTAGTTGGGATAATTTAACGCCTCACTGTAGTTGCTGCCAAGTGGATGGGAGAAACCAAACCAGGTTGACAACTGTGACCAATTTGAATGAGGTGGCTTGCATGAGTCAGGAAAAAATGTCAAGCATGAAAATTGAATTATTATAGGAAGGAGATTTTGTGTGGTTATGGGGTTTCTTGGTTGATGACTCCCTGGGGACCTTCTCTGTTGTCCTCTTTTTGGTCTCTCACCTGGTTTATTCCTCCTCCATTTCCTTGTCTGGATCTTGGTTGAACATTAAGTTTGAGTTAAGTTTCACCTACAGCACATCCATCGGTACGTCGAAACTCATATCTCGAGAAACATTTTCTCTTTAAATGCGATTCAAATTGAAAATGGTCGGTCTAGGGCTACAACATAGTCGATTTGGGTAAAGTTCTAACGGTGTGTTTTTTGTCAGCTGCGTTTCTTGTAAAATTGACGTTTCTGTCCAGAAACTTGGTTCAACGATTTGAGATATTTTGGGCCTCTAATCTACAGAATCAATACTTGATGCTAACACATAAGAAACGGAGCATGGGGAACAGGGCATGGGTTATGGGGCATGGGGCAAGGGGAAGGGGGCAGGGACAAGGGGGCAGGGAGCAGGGAGCAAGGGGCACGGAGCAGGGGCCACGAGACTCTCTGCGGAGCTTTAAGGATGGGTGGTTTTCAATGGCACCCGAAAAATAGTGGGGATGTATAGTTTCTATGTTTATACCTGAAGCGGGTGAAGACCGAGTTGCCTGCCAACACACGCTGCCTCCACTCCGACGCGTCTAATGGGTCCACAGGCGTTGGGGGGAGGGAGGTCAAGGGAAGATGGTAAAAGGGGCTGTTATGGGAGGGAAGGAAGGATGTCTGGCGGAAGGCACGGGAAACACGAGGGACAGCAAGAGGAGATGGGCAGGGGCAAAGCCGCAACACTCACTGGCGAAGGGCCCTTGGGGAATGTACCCCTGTGTGGGCAGTGGCTCCGTCCACGCCTCCTCGCCCTCCACGTCATCCAACACCGCCTTGCCCACCCTAGCTGCTGCCCCCACTCCCCCTCCGCGCCCCCCTACTCCCAACTTTATCCCCTGCCCCTGCTGGCCTTCTCGCCCTTCCCCCCAACCACTGCTCCTACCCCCCTCCCCAGCCACCTCTACACCCCCTTCCCCGCCCATTCGTCCCATTGTACCCCCTCCCGCTCCCCCTCCGCCCCCTCCCCCTGCGCCCTCCTCCTCGTCGTCCTCCTCGTCCTCCAGGCTCAGCAGCTCCTCGATCCCCATGCTCTTCAGCCGCAGCCCCGTGCGTGCCCCCGCCCCCATGCTCTGCTGCTCCTCCGCCTGCTCCATCGGAATGCGCTTCCTCCTGCCCTGCCTTGCCACTGAGCCTTCCCCTCCTCCTCCTTCCCCTACCCCTCCTCCGCCATTTCCCCCTCCTCCTCGTGCCCCTCCCCCCTGTGCCCCCCTCCCCTCCTCTCCCAGCCTCCTCTTGCTCTCTCCCTCCCCTCCTCTCCTCCCCCCCCTCTCCTTCAGCTCTCCACTCCCCGCCTCCCCACGTTCACCTCCAGCCACCCTCCTCTTGCGTCCAACCCCACTCTTCACCCCACCCTCACCTTTTCCCTTCCCCCCACCCTTCTCCTCGTCCTCCCCTCCCTCCTCCTCTCCCTCTTCCCCCTCCTCCTCTCCCTCCTCCCCTTCCCCCTCCCCCTCCTCCTCCTCTTCCTCCTCCTCATCCTCACCTCTCTCTCTACTCACAGCCATCCTCGCCTCAGCCATCGCCCTCTCCTCCTCACTCATCTCCCCCTCTCCCTTCCCACCGCCTCCCACCGCACCACGCCCCTCCCCACCCTTGTGCTTCTTCCTCTTCCGCCGGTGCTTCACCGCCTCACCGCCACCACCACTCTTAACGCCGCTGTCCTCGCTGCCGCGCTCGCCCGCCTCGTCCCTGCGCGCCTTGAGCATCGACACCAGGTCCGCCCGCTCGCTGTCCATCTCCTCCGGCTTCGCCCACTCTATCGGCACCACCCCCCCTGCGCCCCCTCCCCCCCCCTGCGCCCCCTTCTCCCCCTGCTCCCCCTCCTTCCCCTCCCCCCTCTGATTCCCCTCCACCCTCTCCTTCCTCACCTCCAGACGCTGCTTTCCCCCCCCCTCCACCTGCTCCAGCCCCTCCCCCCTCCCCTCCTCCATCTCCTTCCCCAGCCGCCCCCTGAGCTCTCCCCCCCTCGCCATCCACGCCACCTTCCCCATCACCCCCCTCTCCTCCGCTGACCCGCCTCGCCTCTCCTCCCTCTTGCTCCGCCCCTTCAGCATCCCCACCTGCCGCTCGCCCCACTCCCCCGCCCTGCCCTCTCTCCAAACCATCAGCGGTAGCGGCAGAACCTGCACCGGAACCAGCAGAGCGATCACCAGCACCATTACTGCCACCACCACCACCAGCACTCACAGCACCATCGCTACCTGCCCTCGTCTCCTCCTCGCGCCCACCAGTATTCTCCTCTGCTCTCCTTCCAGTCTTCTCTCCTCCCATCCCTCCGCCTCCCCTCCCCTCACGTCCTCCCTCTCCTTGCTGAGTCACCACTCGCCCCTGCTCGCCCCCACCCCTGTCATCTCCGCCACCCCCCCCAGCGCCTGCCCCTCCTGCCGCGCCCATACCTGCCGCCACTCCTCCCTGCTGCTGCTCCTGCTGCTGCTGCCCTGCCCCTTCCACCGTGCGCTGCTCTTGGCCCCCCTCCTCCTTCTGCCCGCCTGCTCCCTCTCCTTGCGTGTCCCCTGCCGCCGCCGCCGCCGCCGCCTTCCCTGCTGCTGCAGCCTCTTCCTCCTTCTGCTTGGCGGCGCGGGCGGCAGCCTCCTTCGCCATCAGCTGCTTCAGCCGCTCGTGCCGTGCTGCCCTGCCACTCAGCTTTGGGGGTTCCATCGCCGATACCACCTGCCCCTGCTGCTGCTGCCGCATGCCTGTGCCTGCTCCCCCTCCCCCTACCACGACCCCTTCCGCCCTCGCTCCTCCTCCTCCCCCTCCTCCCCCAGCCACACCTCCACCCGCCCCGCCACCCACGCCCTGCAGCCGGCGGTCCAGCTGCATGAGCAGCGCGGGCATCTGCTGCAGCGCGCGCGCGCTCTCCTGCACCACGGCCAGTGTCCTCACCGGCACCGAGTACCCCCCCTTGCCGTCCGCCTCCTCCCCCGTCAGCATGCGCTTCACATCCCGCAGCGCTGACATGTGCTTCTGGGAGTTCTGCAGCACCATCGCCACCAGCCCCTGCAGGGACTTCACCGCCGCCCCGCCACCGCCCGCAGCAGCGTCAGGGCCAGCAGGCGGGGGTGTGGCGGCGGCAGTGTTGGCGGAGAAGGCGGCTGATTGCAGCGAGGAGAAGCGCTTGGCGAGGCGCGAGAGGATGGTGGTTTGTGTGGAGACGGCGCGGAGGAGCAGCGTGAGGTGCGTTCCGTTGCGCACCTCCGCCAGAACCTGCTGCAGCAGCCGCTCCATCTGCTGCGCCTGCTGCGCTGACACCTGTGCCTGTGGCTGCAGCTGTGTTGGGGGAAAGAGGGGGGGGAGAAGGGGGGAAAGACGTGGCGAAGAGGGAAAAATGGGGGAGAGCGGGGGAAGGAGGAAAGTACGGGGGAGAGAGATGAGTTACGAGCGGACTCAAAAGCGGCACTGAAATGACTCTTGCGATGACTTATCTTGACTCCCATTGACACCCCCATTGACTCGCATTGACCCCCATTTACCTCATTGACCCTCATTGCCTCGTGATGACCCTCGTTGACTCGTGTTGACCCCCATCGACTTCAGTTGACCCCCATTGACGCCCAGTTGACCCCCTATTGACTCCCTCACTGGCATCGCCTCTAGGTGACTCACATCCATGTCGAGCGACGGCAGCTGTGGTAGCTGCTCGCCCAGCCCCAGGCCCAGCCCGCCATTAGCCGTGGCAGCCTTGATATGCGCCACCAGCGCCTTGAGCACCCCGAGAATGCGGATGAGCTGAGGGAATGGTGAAGGGGGGGGAGGGAGGTTGGGAGAGACATGAGGGGGCGAGTGGGTTACAGGACTGTGAGGAGGCACACATGTGACATGCCTCCCGGCCCACCGTTGGCCCTGGCGGCCTTTATGTGCGCCATGCCACCAACGCCTTGAGCACCGCCAGAATGCAGATGAGCTGCCTGAGAAGAGAGGGGGGGATGTGGGATGGAGGGGAGAGGGGTGGGGAAGAGGAGAGTGAGGAGGCACGTGTGCGCCCCAGTCCAGCCGCCCTGGGCAGTTGCAGACTCGGGCTTGCGTTGGTCGTGGCAGCCTTGATGTGTGCCACCAGCGCCTTGAGCACTGCCAGCATGCGTGTCCTTCCCCTGGCCCGCCTTGACGGGACCACTGCGCCCAGCAGCCACACCTCAACAACCCTGCCCTGACGGAAGCACCCAAGGGAAACACCTGAGGGGGGCACTTGAGGGAAGCACCTGAGGGAAGCACCTGAGGGAAGCACCTGAGGAAAGCACGTGAGGGAAGCACCTGAGGGAAGCACCTGAGGGAAGCACCTGAGGGAAGCACCTGAGGGAAGCACCTGAGGGAAGCACCTGAGGGAAGCACCTGAGGGAAGCACCTGAGGGAAGCACCTGAGGGAAGCACCTGCAGGGAAAACTCTTACTCGACTTGCCTCGGTGCTCAAGTGAGTATTGCAAACAACAAGGCGAGTTTTACTCACTTTGGTCCTTCACTCATGAGTCATGTCTACCCTGCAAGGAGCACCTGAGGAAGCACCTGCGGGAGCACCTGAGGGGAGCACCTGAGGAAGCACCTGAGGAAGAACCTGAGGAAGCACCTGTGGGAGTACCTGAGGGGAGTACCTGAGGGGAGTAGTCCGTCGTTGACTGCCTTGACTTGAGGTCCTCCATTGACTCCTGCTCACATGCTCACATCGCATCGCATCGCATCGCATCACATCACATCATATCACATCCCATCACACACCACATCAAACCATATCACATCACATCGCATCCCATCACACCAGATGCACGCATGCGGCAAGATTCAAACCAGAAAGTGACTGTGAGAGATGGGCAGTGTACAAAGGAGCAGCCGCTGCAGCAGCAAGAGCATGACAGCACACACACCTGCAGCGTCTTGAGGGCCAGCAGCTGCTTCCTGGAAGCCGCGGCCGCCTCCCTCACCCCCATCAAGCTCGCTCCGCTGCCCGCTGCCCCTCCTGCTCCTCCTGCCCCTCCCTGCTCCTGTGTGTGTCATGCCGTGCCGTGCCAAGCAACACATAGGGTGTGGTTGATGTGAGCTGAGGTTCGAGAAATCTGGCAAGCGATCAGAAGAGCATCATGCATGCATGCATGTGTGCAGTTCAACTGGCATGCCATGTGATGATGCGTGACAACCCTTCCACTGCTGTACTCAACCACTTGCATTGCATGTGACCGCACGCACCGCGCAGCACCCACCTCCATCTGCTTAGAGAGCGCCTTGACTGAGGTGAGCAGGCTGGAGAGAAACGCCTCTGTCTTGCGCTGCCGGGGGGGGCGTGGCCGCAGCACGCACGCCCAGTAGCAGCATATAGGGGGGCAGGCATGGAGGAGGGGGCATGGGGGAGAGGGAGGGGAATGGAGTAGGGGGGGGGAAGGGGGATCGGGAAGGGGAGAGGAATGAGATGAGGGTTGGGTGGGTTACAAGCACGAGAGTTGTGCAGCTTTCCTTAGCTTGAAGTGAAGGCACACGTGCATGCAGCCCTGTTGAAGAGTTGAGGCAGGGGCTTGTGTTGAGATGAATTGAATGTGCCCTGCTCCATTTGGATGGAGCACTGCTTACAAGTGGGCGAGGGGATGGGGATAGAAAGGGAATCCTCCCCGCTCTCCCCCTGCTCTCACCCTGCCCCTCCCTGCCCTCCCCCTGTCCCCCCTTGCTCCCCCCCTGGCCCCCCCTGATCTTCCCTGCCCCTGACCTTCCCTCCCGCTCTTCCCTCGCTTGTCCCCGCCTGGGAGAGCACCTGGGAGCGAGCGGACGCGGAGATGAGCACGGCCAGCTTCTCCTTGCTCACATCTCCGCCGCCTCTCCCGCCCTCCCCCCTTCCCCCTGCCCCTCCCCCCCCTGAGGCCACACCACACCTGGGAGCGAGCGGAGGCGGAGATGAGCACGGCCAGCTTCTCCTTTGTCACATCTCCGCCGCCCCTCCCGCCCTCCCCGCCTCCGCCAATGGCGTCCACGGCTGTTGCCACGTGGGTCTGCACCGTGGCGCTGTGATTGCGGATCTCCGTTGCCAGCTGGCGCAGCTGACCTGGCAATGATGATGCATGCACGCACACACGCATGTGCGCACGCACACGCACGGACATACGGCACACACACGGATACAAACATGCACCAAGATAAGGACACAGACACGGAAAAGACAGACACACACACAGGTACAGGGACAGATAGACACTCAAAGACAGAGCCAAATATGATACACATGCATGCATGCACGCACACGCACACACAGAAACACGATACACACATATGCACACACACAATCAAGCAAGCACATGCATGAAGCAAAAGCATGGTGCCACATCTCAAAGCTCCACGCTGCTCCCCCTATCACACGGCCATAGGGCACCCTAACCCAGCCTCGTGGGTACAGCAAAGCCGGTTGTTTCAGGAAGCAAGGCGGGGCTATCTATCACACTCTGGCCCGGGCCGGCCCGTGATGTGGAGCTGGCCAGTCCATCACGTTGCATGGAAGCACGGTTGGGCAGACCGTACAGTGGAGGCAGTTTCGAGAATGCTCACATGTGACTCTTGAGAACCTTCGCATCACAAACAAGTCACTCGAGGAAGCGGCTCAGCCGTGGTGGCGGGCCTATGAGGGACGAGTCCCAACTCCCGACAAGGCGGACAGGCGTTAAACAAGCATGCGTGTGCTGCGGGCAGGCAGCAGCGCTGCAGGGAGTGCATGCGTGCGTGACAACTAGGCACGCCACCCACCGGTGTGCAGGGCTGCAGTTACTCACTCACTCACTTGCTCACTCATTCGCTCACTTTCTGACTCACTCACCCACTCACTGTCTGACTGACTGACTGACTGACTGACTGATTGATTGACTCACCCACACACTTACTCACTCACGGACTGACTGTCTGACTGACTGATTCACTTATTCACTCACGCACTGACTGACTGAATGTCTGAATGACTGACTCTCTGACTAACTGACTCACTCACTCGTTTGCTCATTCACTCACTGTCTGACTGACTCACTCACTCACTCACTCACTGTCTGACTGACTGATTCACTTACTCATTCAATGTCTGTCCGACTGTCTGAATGACTGAATGACTGAATCTCTGAGTGACTGGGCACCAACCTAGTGCTGCCGTGTCTCACTATTGACTGATCAGAGAGCACTCGCCACTAGGTGGGTGCAGTGTGGTGCAGTGCAGCACTAACTGGTCTGCAGGGCGACGTGGTCGGTGAGGGCGGTGGCGACGGAGAGAGTGTGGTTCTCCAGAGCGCCCACCAGCACGCGCATGTCATGCGCCTCGTTGCCCGCCTGCTCCGTTATGCTGGGTTGTGAGGAGGACGGGGGAGGGGTGGGGAGTGGTGGGGGGTGGGGGTAAGATATGTGGTATGGGGATGTAGCAAGCAGTGGGTGATTGTAGCGGTTGGTTACTTAGAGGGACGGCACTACCGCTGCTGGCACGTGCGTGACTGCGGTGCGGTGAGATCCGCACCTCTCTGTGCCGCACCTCTCTGTGCCGTACCTCTCTGTGCCATACCTCTCCGTGCCGTACCTCTCTGTGCCGAACCTCTCTGTGCCGAACCTCTCTGCGCCCTACCTCTCTGCGCCTACCTCTCTGCGCCCTACCTCTCTGCGCCCTACCTCTCTGCGCCCTACCTCTCTGCGCCCTACCTCTCTGCGCCCTACCTCTCTGTGAGCGCCACTACGATCTGCTCGATGCTGGAGAGGTGCCGCGCCACCATCATGTACTGCGCGCGGAGAGGGGGATGGGGGGGAGGGCAGGGGGAGTGGGGGGAAACGAAGGGGAGAAGGGGGAAGGGAGGGGGAGAGAGGGGGGAGCGGAGAAGGGGAGGTAGGGGAGAGGGTGGGGGGCGGGGAGAGGGGCGAGAGGAATGGGGCAGAAAGGGGAGGGTGGAAGATGAATGGAAAAGGGGACGACGGGGGGAAACGAAGGGAGGGGAAAGGGCAGCGGGGAGGGGGTGGGGCAAGAAGCGGCGCGAGAATTCGCGGTGCATTGCGATGGCGCCCTCCGCCTCGTGCCCCCCGCGCTCTCCCCCCCGACTGCCGCCTTTGCCGCGCGCACAGCCGAGGCAGCAGTCTCCGCGTGTCCCGCCTGTCAACCCCCGTGCGGACATGTCAACCCCCGTGCGGACATGTCAACCCCCGTGCGGACATGTCAACCCCCGTGCGGACATGTCAACCCCCGTGCGGACATGTCAACGCCCCACCCTGCCCGGCACGAGTGACCACCAAACGCGGTCGCAAGAAAGATTTCGAGTAATGTTCCGCGCGTTGGGCCGCCAGCGGGGTGCTCAGCGGCGCCAACAGCGAAATGCCGCCGCTCATTGCGGGGTGCTCAGCGGGGTATGCGCTGCTCGTCGCGCGCATTGCCGACTGCTGGAGTCCACACGGGTAGCGCGCGATCTGACGCGACTCGTTATAATCACGACTGTCGAAGAAAATGCCGTTGACGTCACCGCCGCCGCCGCGTGCGTGCATTGCCTGTCTAAGATAGTCTAGCGGAACGGAAATATCGGAGGTCTATGCCGACTGGGACTCGTTATTAACAACCCCTCACGTATCGTTATAATCAACATCACGTGATACAAACGCCACGTAGCACCAATTAACGCCACGTGTCAAAAATCAACACGGTCGTGCGCGGCTCACCATGATCAGCACGGCCGCGGCCTGGATGACGGTGGTGGTAACCACCAGCGGCTGCTGCTGCAGATGCACCCGCCTGGGCGGCGGCCGGCTTTCCGCGCCGGCCATTGTTGGCTTATATAACGCGTACACTAGCACACCAGCATTGTGGGCCTTTGGCGCATGTGCTAAACGACGCCCAGCCTTGTAGTTATTTAACCCGATGATAACTTATCGAGATTTCCAGACGAGCGTGAGCTGGCGAATGCCACGCCCTACTAACCCTAGTTACAAGTACCCGTGATCACCGCGAGAAATTCGCGACGAAGTGTGACAATGGAGGAGAGATCGTCTTGGGGTGGCGCGACGCAACGTGGGGATGCTAGTGTGCAAAATTACACAACCACCCCTGAAAGAGTCAGTGGGAGCGGGGTGGGGATGGTGGAGGGGTAGTTGGTAATCGGGGCGGCCCCGGGGGTTGCCGCGAGGGTGGCGGACGCGCGCGGCGTGGTTGGTGGTGGGAAGTGTTGTGGATGAACTAAAATCGGGACCGCGCGGAATCAACGAATATAGAGATAATCACGATACATATTACTGGTGCAATTGAACTAGAGTGAAAATAGCACTAGTGAGTACAAATGTGAGCGAACATTTATAAATCTCACCCAAACCACGCACCGCTCGTCCATCAAAACGAGTACAAATGTGACGCGGAATCCCCGGCTTCGCAGATACACTTGAAAAAGAGGGATATTTTCGATATTGCCCACTGCACCTGGCTGTTTTCCATAGGGGTGCGACCTTTCTACCAAGCGAGGAATTCGATCATCTGAGATCCCTGGGGGTGGCAAGTCGATTGGCCCAGAATTTTCTCAACGTCGATGATGGGCTCTGATGCACGACGCGTCTTTGAGGGTGGTCGATGCCGAGTGTCACAGGTGCACTCGAAATCCCCGATTGATCCTAAGGAATTGTTATATACACGTTGGCCTGAGAGCAGGCCCTCAGATTCGTTTTTAGCCTGTCTGATTCGTCAGACTCTCCCAAAGTTGTAGTCTGAATCTGACAGAGTTGCAAAAAAAAAAAAAAAAAGGCTGATAGTACAGAGTTACCTAAAATAAAAGTCTGAAAGATTCAGACTCACCCGCCTATCAAGTCTGATTGTCTTTCTAGCTGTCTTGCTGAACTGTTTGTCTTGTTTGAACTATGTAACGCACATTGCAAAGGCCTACATACAAAATGCTACTTTTCTTTGATTAGCTCCCAGCTAGAACTACCCTATTCATGTATCCTAGCACTACAACATCCTACTAATCCTCCTCTCCTATACTCTCCTACTCATTAAATCCATCATCATCATCGGAGTCAACTGCATCCTGCTCATCTTCTAGGTCAACTATTACATCCATCTCTTCATCTGCCTCCTTGCCCTTCTTGTTGTGTTGCTTTCCTGCAGGCGGGAGTGGAGCGTTGCTCTGGGGCTTGCACTTCTTGTAACTCCTCCAGACTGTCACAATCTCATCCCAGTCGGGGGCGTAATCCATCAAGCTCATGCACATAAGGTCCCCCAGGCGAGCATCCTTGAGCGCGCCCCTCTTCCACGACTTAATGATGTTCTGGCGTGAGAACCCCCGCTCGCACTCCACGGTGCTCAGCGGCAGTACACCAACCGCCACCCACAGGAGCACCAAGTTGGGGTAGTTCTCTCGCCAGTCGGGAGTCTTGAGCATGGCAGTGAGACCCGCGTGGAAACCGCGCTCGCCCTTGGTAGATGCTGCAAGCACCGAAGTGAACATGCGCAGCTCCTTCTCTGCGCGGCGCTTGTCAATTCCTGACGGGATAGGAAGTAAAACAGGAGGAGCAAGCTCAGAACCCAAATTCAAACATTAATTGAAGTGACATGCAATACAAACGATGCATCGGGGTAGCCTGATATTAAAACCAAGCTGCTTAATGGCTTACCTGGCAGGATCTCATCCGTCAGGTCGGCCTTGAACAGCGTGACAAGCGACCGAAGCCACTCGAGGCACCTGCAGTTCCTCTCTCCACGCTCCAGCGGGTACTCGTCGGGGGTGAAGAGCCTAGCGCCGGACATCCCGTTCAGGTCGCCAAGCCGGTGCTCCAGTTGGTGCACGATCACCTCGGCAAACTGTGTGCAAACCTCCACACAGCCATCGTGGGTGCCGGGCCCTTCAAACTCCTCTAGCTCGTCCTCGTGCAGCACGAATTTGAAGCGTGCTGGTCGGCCGTCCGAATCAATCCCTTCAACCTTCACCTCCCGGTTTCCTCCAGGCCCATGGCGTGCGATGAAGGGGGACAGCAGCTCGCTGACGCCGCCTCCGAAGTCGTCTCCGCAGTCGACGTAGCGGCTCTCGATGTGGGATGTTGTACGCTTGATCTGCGCATGCACGCTGGCATAATCAAGCTGGAAAAAAACACGTGGACATGTGGTTAGTGACTAAGGTTAGAAGAAACGGAGCTGGCATTAGCACAAAGACTTAACTAGTAACAAGAAACCAGAGCTTACCTCCTTGTGCTGGAATGCCTTGTTGAGTATGTTCAGCTGCTCAAGCACATCTGCAATGAAAAACAGGAGGAAATGAAACCTGTAGCTCGTCACCAGCGCATAAAGCGTCGCGTCCCACTCCTTCAACATCACGATGAGAGCCGGAAGGACGGCGACGAGTCTGAGCACTGCGTCGCCCCGCGAAAGCCAACGGACTGCATGGATCCCTTGAAGCTCCAGTGAGGTGGAGGTGAAGACTTCCTGCAGCCCCATGAACCGCTGATGCCATGGCCCACTTCGACCGAGATGCTCAGCCACGGTGCGGATCACCGTGTCAATGACGTTGAAGGCGGGAATCTTCTCTGCGGCTGTTTTAGCCGCCAGTGCCTCCCTGTAAAAACAAAAAAGGGAAACATTAGTCACATGTAGCCGTTAAAGAACTTCAAAAAACCCTATGCACCTACAGGTTTACCTGTGAGCGATGCAATGGGATGACACCAAATGGGGAATGCGCACGCGGAGGCGTGTCGTGAGGCCGCCCTTGCAGCCCATCATGACGTTCGCGCCGTCGGTGCTGATGCCTGCAATGCGCTGCAGGTCGACCCCGACTGCCAGCAGGTGTGATAGCAGAACGCCCAGAAGAGAAGCAGCGTCGGCCTTCTCCACGGTGAGAAGCGCCATGAACTCCGTGACGACCTTGAAGTCACGGACGAAGGTGATGAACAGGATCAAGTGCTTCCCGCTGCACCTATCCGTGCTCTCGTCAATCGAGATGCCGACGAAGGGCGACGATAGCACATGTTGCAGCTGGGTTGTCTGGAGCCATGTAGCTGTAGCTTGCGTCAGCTCACCGAAGCCGTATCTGCACATGGAACCAATAGTCAATAACAATTTAGTTAGAACATTATTAAAACGTGGGTACTTATAAAGAGGCGTACGGCAGTTGCACTCACGTGGTGTAGTAGGTGCCGTACCCTCTCTTAGGGAAGCCTTGCACGCCCTTCTCCGACAAGTACCGCACCAGTTTCACCCACATCCCCATGGGCGCGTCGGACCTGCTGATGAACAGCAGCGAGTCCAGAAGGGCGACGGTCCGCATCTTCTCAGTGTCCACCGCGGCGCGATGTTGGTCGATTTGTGGCTGCCGTCCACCGCACTCCTCTTCATATTTCTGTCTCTCAACCGCCAGCTTGTGCTTCGTCGTGCCAGCGTGTTTACGGAAAGACTGTGTCTGCAGGTCGGTGGCGCCTCTCCCGCGCCTCCCGCACTTTCCTGCATCCCCAGCAAAGGCTGCACAAACGGTACACTTGAACGCAGGCAAGCCGGTAGTGGTTTTAGTGATTATGAGCCACTGAAACCGGGTAGACCAATGATTTTTGAACTTGTCCATCGCTTCGTCGTAAACTCCCTCGATGAGCTCGGCCAGATTGATATTGAGGCGAGGTCGCGGTCGGTCAGATGTTCCGGGAGCGTTCGTGACGTTGGCAGTTGACGACGCAGGTTTGCCGAAGGTCAAGGTCGCCTGCTTGAGACGGGTCGTGCGCGACGTGGTCTGAGTCGGAATCTGCGACTGTGAATCACCGATTGGTTTCGCAGATGTCTCTGCCACATGGTCGGCAGAAAGTGAGAAAACTGGAGCCGCAATTGGCTGATGATTAAAGCAAGGGTGCACTTTCCTATGGGTGGTTTTTGGGAGCATTGTTAGTGTACACCCTTCGAGGGATGCTGATTCGACAGCGAAGTTTTGTGGGTACGGAAAGCTGGAGCGAGGAATTCAAACTGGCTGGCGAATCCAATAAATTTCGTGCGGAACCAGAGTTGGGGAATACGCTGCGGTATGTGGAAACCAAATGGCGCAGCAAC